CCTCCTCCTCCTCCTCCTCCTCCTCCTTGTCCTCACTGCCGTCCGAAAATCATCCCCCGCGTTGCGAGAAAGCCCTTCTCTCTCGTTCATCCCGATCATCCTCTCGGATCGATGTACATGGCTCCCACGTTGACTCGTGGGATAATTCTCACGACGAAGAATAGCTCTTTTTCCTTTTCTCTCGTCGTCGTCGTCGTTGTCGTCGTCGTTATCGTCGTTGTCATTGTCATCGTCGTCGTAGTTCGTCCGGTTTTATTGCACCGTGGAGAACAATATCAAGCAGAGCGGCAAGACGATTTGTTTACTGCTGGCGATGACCGCGGACGCGTCGTTGCGATCCTTGAAATTCTGGTTGTCGTCGCCGTTGTGCTTGAAAGCGTTGCCGTGGTCCTTAATTAAGGGCGCGCGCGGGTCCGCGGTCGTCGACGTGGTCGCGTATTTGTTGTTGTAGATCAATCGCGCGGTGCTCTTCTGCATCGCCGGCGTGCTCACCTGCTGATGGAAAACCCGATTGATCGCCCCTTGCCCGGACTTTGACTTGACTCGGTTCAGTCGCTTCGAGTTGGTCGAGGTGACGCGGCTGGATTCGGTCGGCCGCTCGATCTCTGCAAGTATATTAACGTGAATTCGTCGGCTACGTTGTCAGAGACGCTTTGCCTCTTGGACCGTGTCCCTGTACTTTTTTTTTGTTTCAAGGCGCCTTTAGATCGGGTTTTTTTTGGGGAAATTTGTACGTCGGCTCCATCTGAGCCGCCGATTGATCGCATAAGACTTGCGATCGATCTGCGACTCTTTCGTCGACTGTCAAAATTACATATTCATTCGGCTTTATGTGGCTCTATATATGTGTACGCACGACTACTCACCGTAAACTCTGAGATTCGCCTCGGCTTTTCCCATGCTTGAGGAGGCCGAGCACGTGTACTCGCCCAAATCCGTTTTCTCCAAGCGCCTTATCTTCAACACGATCGTTGTCTTCCATTCCTCCTCGGGATCGCCTCGCTCGTCGATCTCGTATCTACCTCTGTATTGACATATCACTTACGCTTAGTGTCTGTGATAAGGGAGAATAGATTCCGCTATTCGACATCTCGTTAGAATAACCGAATCGTGCGGGGATCGATGTTCCCGCGCGGACCGGTCAGGTCGAGCTGGAGGGTGATTTAGCAAGAAGCGCGACGGCGGAGCGTTCCGCCGCCCTTATCGTCGGGCGAGATTGTCGAACAACGGTGCGAACGGCCCGAAATCGCCCGGAGCAAACTGTCAATATTGTTTCAGCACGTACCCGTTCATGATCACTTTCTCCTTTCGCATCCAGAAGTTAATCGTCTTGGGATAAGCCTCGATCAAGCAGACTAACGACACATTCGTGTCCAGCGGAGAACTGAGCAGCTGATTCGGTGCCTTCGCGCTGGGTGGGACTGCAATCGTAGAACGTGTAGAGAAATGAAAGAAAGATAAGAGAGATCGATAGTATCGCGTCCGTTCGTGCTGAATTATTTGACACTAATTTTTAGACTCATCACGCCGCTAACTCTTTCGCTAATAAAAATAACATTGTATCTTTTTAATGGTCGCAGCAGCGTCTCTTCTCATCTCTCAGCGCGAAAATAAACGTTAGACAAATATTTTCGTTCATCTCGGATTTCAATTCTCGACTTCCTCCCTCGCTCGTACGCGCACGCGAAGAAACGACGAGCATGAGTAAAGCGCTGTAAACCGTTTTCCAAAAGTACTTACAATTTACTTTGAGATTAACCCTCTTGCTGACCGCCGGAGGCACTTCGTTTCTCGCTATGCAAAGATAAGCCCCCATTTGCCTCCTGTCTACCCTGATTAATTCTAGCCTCTCGCCGGACAGGCTCTCCACTAGAAAATCGTACGTTGTATGAATATCTCGTTGAAAGCTGGTCCCTCGTCGACCGTGTAAGCCGACGTGTTAACGCGGCCCGAGTAATTATTCGCGAAATACGCCTTCGGGGCACGTAACGATAAGCAGAACATGAATTCGTAGCAAAATTCGTCGCCGGGATTCATCGCAGTCGTCTGGCGCGGTGGCGGAGCTCACGTTAATATTACCGCCTTAATATCAGTCAAATGTGAATTTTGAACCAACCAGAACTTGAGTCGCGTATAGAGTAAACCATACAATTATCGGTACTGAGCCATTTGAACTTTAGAAAAACTTGGTTTTTTATGCGATGAGCATTGCAATTAAGCTTCTTGCAGACCGTCTATGATTCCAGAAGAAATCTTCACAACTTTAAGGTGCAAATGACTAAGGAGGATGCAAGTGTGCTTCATCATTTTTTTCGCGTTAACCTTTGATTGAGTCTATAAGCGCGGATTCGTCGGAATTAATATCACCAATCGTCGCCGGTAAAATAGCGCCGATATTTTGTGCATGTTGATCTGAGTGCGATTTTGTTCGATGTAAACTCTCTTTCTCTCTCTTGCTCTCTCGGCTCTTTACGTAAGCGGCAAAGGATAAATTAATTCTGCATTAAGTGAATTTTTGCAACGGCATTATTGTATATTTTTACGGTTTGTGTTTTTCGCGTTTGCATGTTTCGTGTTACGAAAATACGCTGTTTTTCATAAAAGCGGCGGGAGATAACGAAATTCTGGAAATACACATTTTCCGCGCTATACGCGTGCAATTTCCATTGTCCGACGAGAAATCACGTTAGTGTGTGTGCACGCAGGGAGGGAGAGGCACGCACGCGTGCGCGCGCGCGCGCGCGCGTACTAGACGCTTTTCAAATAACTGGAAGATAATGAATCATATTATTATCGAACGAACGGTCGACATAAATCACACGTGCAACGTGTCATTTCGCGTTCGCGATAAAATCTGTCAGAAGTTTAATAAGATCGATCGAAAATGCGGGCTGCGTGATTTGTGTTGACAGCAGCTAACGGATTCGCATAGCGCTGCAGTCAATCCTATCGAATTTATAATTACCTAGTGTTTGATTATCCGGACGCGCGTACAGAAATAATATTTTTTTTTACTTCGGAATTTAGTCAACGCCCGTCCTGAGGTTCTCGTCAAAAAAATAATCGAAGTCAACAACTTGCGCAAACGATCTAAATAAACATCTAAAAAAATATGCAGTCATCTTTGTTGTGCCAATTAAGTGTACTAAAACTCACGACACGTCACATGGGTCAGTCGACCCATAATTCTATTCTAGTTCTATTAATACAAGTCGTTATTCGTCGCTATCTTTCCTCCGCGGAAAATTGGTATGAATATTACCGGTTATGGATTTTATATCGCAATGCAATCTTTAGAGACCATATGCGATATCGCTATCGGAACTATATTTAACAAGTGCAATAGATTTCGTACGAGCGACGCCACTCGGAAAGGTACGTCGCATAAGTTCGCTCGCGCGCACGTGTTATACCTTTCGCGGGTAACACCGCGATATATTGGAAATCGATTGATTGCGAAAATTTGTCGCGACGTCGCGATTGAATGCAGAGACAGTACAAGCGTGCTCTTTTAATTCGGGATGTCGCGGAGAAGGCTTCTTCCTCTTTCTCGGCATGGCTAGCCGGCTGTCCGGCCGGCCGGTCGGTCGTTCTATTTTGCGACGCGCGATTCGATCGTGTCTGCACGAAATTCCTCCGTGGAGTGCGGAGGTGCCTTGCGAAATGCAGCGTGGCTCGACGTGCCCGAAGGATATTGAAAGTCATTGCGGACAAACTAATCTCTATTCGATGGAACGTGTTCCGCCGTAATTGCTTTCGATCGGGATCACCTACGTGTGCGAATTTACGATGTCTTCATATATCCCTTTAAAACGCTCGACCGTTGGCTCGATTGAGACTCGTCGGATTACCGGGATTATCCTAATTGCGCGCCTCGCGTACTGTTATGAATAATGTCGCGGCAACGGGCCAGTCCCCAGTGCAGCGAAAGTAATTTTGCTTCTATTTGTCGAGACGAGTTACGGGAAAAGCTTCGAAAGAGAAGAACGCATATGCTGGCGTGTGATAATTAATAACTACTCTCAAAGCGGTGATGGACTTTACGCGTAAACATTTTCAGATTTACGAGACAAAAGTGCTCCACAAAAAAAATAAAATTGTTATTCGCACAGAGCGGAGAATATACTTTCTGTATATCCCGCTTTTACTTTTTAAATCAATGCGTTTACTTGCACCGTCTGCTAAAAGCATTTTCACCGCTCGTAAGCACGTAATCCATTGTCGTCGTCAATTTTTCGACAAGAGCTTGGGTGGGAAGGGGCGATGCGTAGAAATAGGCATTGCGATTTTTCTCGCGGTCAGAAAGAAAGAGACGGAGAGAAAGAGAGAGAGAGATTTTATTCTGGAACAACGCGTATTTCGTGCGACGGGGACACGTCACCGTCACAAAGGAGATGACTATTACGGGGAGGTGGGAGTGACAATCACGGGTCAGGATATAGGGGCGATATGTCTCTTACTTGGCATCAGCGGGTCGTGAACACCTCTCATGAGTATGAATTCACTTTTCTCGCGTCGCCAGAACACGCGAGGCGGCGGTCGTCCGGACGCCTTGCACGACAACGTGGCGTTCTCACCCTCCAGAACGGAGACCTCGCCATCCGATGTGCCGGTGCTCAGAATGTCGGGCGGCACTGCAAAGAAAGGACAGCAGTCACAGATAAAACATCGATCAAACGAATCAGCCAGATGATGAAACGCTAAAATACGATCACGCTCTGGAAACTCGACGTTATCTGCTCGGCTCGCGACTCGCGATAGAGTCGAAGAGGAAGTTCCTCATGAATTCGAGATTGGCGCGCAAACGCTACGTTTTACATTCGCCGGAAATTATTCACGATAAAATGCAGCGGGCAAATTCGCTCTTTCAAATTGACACTTGCACAAGTAGAGAGATCGGAGAACCTTTAACGTGCACGGAAAAAAATAATTTGCTGCAGCAGCAAACTAATTTGCTACATATGGACAGTTAAATATAATTTGCTGTATTAGTTACTTTTTCTTTGCAGCAGGAACCTATTTTCTTGCTATGATAACAGGAAAGTCTGCTCCTACAACAAGAAAAGTGGCTAACGTAACGAATTTGCTACAGATCGACAACTAAAGATAATTTACTGCTTTAGCTACATTTTTTGTTGCAGGAGCAAATTTTCTTGTTATCATAGCCAAGAAATTGGCTCCTCCAGCAAAGAAAAAGTGGCTAATACAGCAAATAATGTTAGTTGTCCATATGTAGCAGATCTTTTTTTCTGTGTGCGCGCTCTCTCTCTCTCTCTCCCCCCTCTCTTTCTCCGTACGTAACCAAATACATTGAAGCAAACTGAGGTGATAAGATAGAAGTGAAATTAAAGTGAGTCGAGCAAAGAGCACTAGTGATGAAGATTTATATCATGGAAAAAAATACACCATCTAATTTAACAGTGTATATATATTTACGAGGATCGCTATGATTTACAAGGATCGCGAGGGATACGTTGTCCGAAATTTACGGCTGTAAAATTCAAAACACTTCCGTCGATATAACTCTTCGTGTCCCCCTGAAAAATTAATCTCCCGTTACTCGCGCGCGTTTTGAAGTGAGCGAGTAGCAGCCGATCGTTCTTCAAGCTCCGTAATATGGAAAGTTAATCTATCTCATACGTTTTAATTACGCGCTCGGGAAACGAGTAGTAAATGTTTTTGTTCTGCTCGATTCGAGGAGCGCGCGCGGTGGACTAATATTTTATTTCGTAATTCATTTCATTGTTATCGCATCGGGTCCGGGCGCGTTAGGAGACGCGTGTAAAACTCGATAACAAAAGAATAATAAAGCAATTTCGTAGCAGCCGCGCGTTTTCTGAACTAACGTTGCGCGGTATACGAAATGTAAAGTATACAGGACGCGTTAACGCGTGGCTTTTGTCGAATGAGACGTGTACTACACACCAACACCTCATCTCCCTTCGCGTTACTCCATCGTGTTCGCGTTCATTTATCACAAATTCAACACGTGTCCGAGGATTATGACGCAATTTTGTTGGCCGTCACGCGCCATTGTCTGCAATGGCGATGCAATTTTCGAATTGGATCGAGATCATACGAAACAATATATCTTCATATAAGTCTTCCCTGTCGTCTTCGTCTTCCTCGTGTCGGCGGGGGTCGAGAGTTCGCGCGCCATAAAGAATCCGCATTGCCGTCGCTCTAACGTGATTTAACCGAGCATTGCCGCGACGCCGTCGTCAGCTTGTTTGCACACCGACGCGAAAAATCATCACGAAATCATTCGCGTCAAGCATTCGAAACGGAAATGAAATATCGGCGCGCTCGGACGGACGTACCCTCTTTCCCGAAATGAAATTCCGTCAACCGGCTCGGTGGGACGTTCGATTCGTTTCAATTACAATCGCTCAATTCGAACAAGTGTGTCACGAGGCGCGAAAAAAAGAGCTACGGCATTTTCTCATGTTTTCGACACAAAGGAATTTCATTCCGCTTGGCAGCAAAGACCGCTTTTTGGTGCCGGCCGGCGACGAACAAGCACGCACGCGATGGAACGCATTCCCGCTCATCCTCCGGGAGACTCCTGCGCATTCTCGCACTCCCTCTTGCGCACAAAGTAGATGATATTACTCGACGGAGCTGGTGGTGGCGCGATATAAAAGTGAAATTGTGCATTTGATGACGCCGTAGCAGCAGCGATGCAGCGGCCGAGCGTACCTCTGTGCCGAAATTGAAGCACAGTGCAGCGCGGCGCGCCGTTTTGTCGGCGCGTCTAGGATATTGCCGATGTATATCCTGGGCAAAGCAAATATTGAGTCGCGTGTGTTATGTCGCTGTAATTAACGCGTTAAGAGGAGATAATGTAAATTTAATAGAAACATAGTTGAGCTTTCTCTCTCTCTCTCTCTCTCTCTCTCTCTCTCTCTCTCTCTTCCTTCCTTCCTCTCGACGTACCGCGAACCGTGGCAGAGTATGATGGCAGTAGTAGTAGTCGACGCTGTAGTCAGGCGAACGGATGGACGGACGGATCCGTCGTGTCAGATAGACTTTCGAACTTCGTTATCGCGCTTAATTAAACTATAAATTAAAGCGCGGTCGTGGCGTTTCTTATATGACCGTTAATAGTTCCTTGCCAAGTGAGAACCAACTTTAGCCGTCGATATTACATCCCCTCTCGCGGTCGAGCAGGCACACGAGCGCGCGCGCGCGCGCATGTTAATAAATCGAAGTAATTTGCCCCGCTAAGCAAATTGAGCTATCCCGAGTAACACACGTACCGCAAGGTGTGCGAAATCATTTAATGGATACCGCGGCGAGATTAACCCTAAAACCCGGAAACGCTCCCGAGACCATTATGCACTCGCTGTTCGTGGAATGAAGTTATATTTTCTAATCGTTTCTGTGGAGTTACGGCTCACCTGTAACGTTCGGATTAACCTGGCAAATTAACTCGATGTGTTTTTTCTTCCTCTTGTTGGATATGAAGCGAAAGTACCAATGCCCGGACACATGCCTAATCCTGGACATTCTTCTCGTTATGGTCTTGAATTTTGAAACATTTAAATTTTCAACATAATATTTAAATATTCATATTTAAAGATCAAAACGCATACGGGAATTGGTACTTTTCCCTTACGCATCGCAAACGATCGTGAATAGTTATGAAAAAGGAAGGAGAATTCACACGCATTCAAAAATCGATACAACGTCAATTCGATTTTACGTGTATCCGGCAATCTATAAAACGGATCATAAGCGGCGAAACCGAGGATGACATCGTGGTTACGCTTCGGATATACACATGCACGCACTTGCGCACTTGCACACGCGCACACACTCGCACCAGCGGTCTATTGAAACGCGCCGCTGCAGTGGCGAGGCACGCATACTTTCCCCGGCCCTAAAGCCACCCTCGGCCCTAATCGAAACGCAGTGCGTGCGTACGTGCGTGACGTCTCCGCCGACGGCCGCAAACAGCCGACCGTACCTGGCCGGCCGGAATGCAGCGTAACGTGCAATTAGGCATACCTAGGACGTCCACGCATCCCAGCTGGCTCAACATCGGCTTGGTGTTGAGTTGGCACATGTAGCAGCCACGGTCGGCTTCCTTCAGCGACCGAATGTGCAGCTGCCAGGTGGCCTCCTCCTCCTCTCGCGATTGCGTCTGATTCTTCGTCTTGGCATTCTCCAGGGTGACGAAGAATCGGGGTGAATGGGTGACTCGGCGCTCGCCCATCGACAATATCGTCTGGTCCTCGGCGCGCAGCCATCCCACCTGCGGAGCAGCGACAAATGCGTCGAGAATTCTCTTCTTGCTCGCGGTAACAACGTGGTTGGTCACACTACGTCAACCACCCCCGCCGGTTGACTCGCGTCGGTCGAACGGGTTGAGCGGTCGAGTGCGCGAATCCGCCGCTTTATGTTTGCTCGCGAACGTGAGAGATCGCGGCGATTTTCCCTGTATGTGGATCACAGCTTCATCAAGAGAGAGAGAGAGAGAGAGAGAGGGGGAGGGAGAGAGAGAGAAAATGCAAACCGCAGGGTAGATTTCGGCGGTGTCTCGTAAACCGTACCTCGATAACGACACGTGGCTACTATCGTATCATGGATCGAGCGGATAGTCATACGAAGTGCTCTCAACGCGTCAATGGCGCGAATCGCGCTGGTCAATTTGAGGTCGATTTCGCCTTTAAATATACGCAGTATGCAGCATGTAACAAGCATGAGTAACATCGCGTTCCGCGCAAAACCGAGAAGGTTTTGTCAATCGACTCGTAAATTTGCCGTAAATTTTATTTTTTCTTTCTTTCTGCTTTAAAATAATTGAAGATACGTTGCTCTCGCTTACATTTTTACCAAAATGTTTTTCGCTTAACTAAAGTTTTGCGATGGAATATTATTTTTACTTAAATGGAAACGAGCACGGCTTCGCCTTGTTTTCTCCGTTTTGTTTTGTGAAAAATGGGGACGTGGGTAAGCGTCTCCGTTTAAGAAAAATTCTCAAGCTTTACGCGATAGTGTAAACATAAAAGAGAAAGAGAGAGAGAGAGAGAGGGAAAGAGCACAGAAACAAGCGTTGTGATCACGGCTATCGTTCGTTGCAATACGCGTCGGGCTTCATCCACTTTACAATTTTGCAACGACCAAGGGTCAATATCCCGGGCTATTAATTTGGGATAGCCCGGTGTAGCGCATAATGATATCCGGTGCCGGCGCGCGGGGATTAATATCAGATATCGTCTTTTACTCATGGTGGACCGCGCCACGGGTTCGACGAAGCGTCCGGCATAAACGAGAGAGGCATCGAACAATATTATATCGTCCCCCGCTATCGTCGAGTGCACACCCACTCATGTACAAGCGCGCGCGCACGTGTGTCTGTGTACGTGTTCGTGCGTACGTACGGCAGTAATTGCTTTTAGGCAAGTACGCGCATTGTGCCGCGGCTTGCACCGGACCGAACCGGCGCGCGGTCGACGGCAGTGCAGGAATCAGCCCGACGAAAGGTTCAATTTAACGTCGTATCTAGCCGCCATCCTCACTTAACCGCCGCGCCAGCCTTCGCCGCGTTATCTATAACGATGCACTTGGTAATTAATCTCAAGTGACTGTCATGCGACCTACATAACCGTCTCCGACCATACGCGCGCACCCGGCCGGTTACATGCCGCGCCGGGACCGCCAGTGTGTCACCCATACCGACCTGGCCCATCCCGACACGCGTGTATCTCGCCCGCAGCCCGAGCTGAGACGAAGGGTTGTTGATAGCTCAAAACGAGGGTAATTGGCCTTGAGGACACACACTGCGTCCGACCGATACGCGTTGACGTAGGTTGACGCTTGACCGTGCGCGGTTATAGGGGCGCGACGGATTTGCACATAGCTAAAGTAACGAGATCTCGTACTCCTCGTTCAAGTCTACGTTTAAAAAAAGACAATTGGACCTATCGAGCGAAATGGCGAGTCTGAAAATTCTGTGACGCGTATAACGATCTTCTCGCGCGAAATTATGTCAGGCTGACGTGGAATTTCACGTCCTTATAAAAATATAAAAGAATCAAATGTATGATAAAGGGAGAGTGAGAAAGAGGATTTTACATTGAGTGCTTTCGCGAAGCCCTTTGTTTCCCAAAACGCGGAAATATATGATTAAAATATGACGGCCCCGAGCTGAGATTAAAGAAGAAATAAATTTCGGTATTAAATTCGCTCTGCGGAACTTGAAAGCGGCACGGAAAAAGCGCGCGGAGACACTTTTGAGATCTTTTGTTGGAAAAATTATCGCGGTATTCTGAATTTTCCTTGGTACAAACGGCGCTGTTTGTGATCCACGATAATGGGGAAGCGGCGAACCGTGCGCCGCATAGCTTAATCGAATCGATGTATAAGTAGTCTAATATAAATCGGAGTTTCCGGTAAAGGCGACCATTTGTGCGAAAAACGAGGCGCTCGTGCCTTCAGCCATTGAGAGAAAACGGTGGATGAGGGAGGAAGAGGGAGAGAGACGGAAAGAGATTGAGAGGAAAGAGAAAACCAAGAGATGATGGCAGTCGCCGTTTTGAATCCTTTCGTTATCGAGGTACAATCGACAGCGTTTTAAGTACATTGTCACGAAGGAACAACAGTTTGTCCTGTATGAAAGCAGAGGAGGGGTACTATTGGCGCCGACTGCGGGGTCATTATCTCTACGGAGAAGATAACGATTCCTTCGATGCTATCCCGGAATAATGCCGTCTTCCCTGTCCGGGAACGGCGTGCTTATCGCGTAAAAAGCTTCCGGGGACTCAAACGACGACTTAGTTCAACATTTTGCATGGTCACGATTCTGAAAACCGCCGGTTAACTCCCCTCCTCCGTATGCGGGTAATCTATACGATTGGGAAAAAAATTAATAAAACATAAATGTGACACTTCTATTTCGCCGCACGTTCTGGATGAAGCTCGCGTTTTTACTTTTATCTACACCGTAATTGTACTTCAGAGAAAGCTATCTACATCTGGTCCCATCTCCCTTCGTCGCACTTTGAATATACTTAAGATCTTCTGTCCCAAAAACTACAATTCTTGTAGAGTCGCGATATTGCGTTACGTATTGCTGGAAAATGAAGGATTATGTCGCAATACCCCTCTTATCCGGCATATCGAGTCCGTCTACGCACAAGATTGAAAATGGCGCATCGATAACTCGCGACTGTTCAATATTTCAAGTTCTTTCAGTGAACGGTGAATTTCATGAATCTATAAGGGAGATTGTTTGAATATTCAGTCTTTTTTTTTCAAGTTTAATTAGGGAGTATTTGTGCGCCATATTTGATCGGCGTGCTTGATCGAAAGGACCGTATTGGGCCACGTTCATATTAAGATAGCTTACGCGGATGCTCATTAGCGATGATCCTTTGTGTCAAAGAGACTCAGATATTAATTAGGTTGTTGGAGGGATACAAATCGCCTGCTTCTGCGTAAAGCACGACGCTAAAAGCGTCCTTTAATTAAATATCAAGGTAACAGATAGGAATACTTAAATATAATTTGCCGCTGATGCATTTAAAAATGCATAGACGTTTCAACATTATAGGTAAAATACTCGACTCGGAACCGATAGAAGTCGTCAAATCAAACGGGATGGGTCTTGATAGCGAAATTAATCTGTAAATTAATCGCTCTCGGAAGATTAGGCTCTTTGTTGCACGAGTCATATTCAATAATTACGATGTGCTGCGGAACAACCGATACATCGGCGAGTTCAAAGTGTCAGCAACTTACAAGTGATCTAGACACGTATTAATCGGGTTTTACATTCTGTAACACGGTTACTGGATGTTCACCCACGCGTTTACAGAACTCAACGGCAGGTGCGGCCGATTGCGTTTCGGCGGCGCATCGAATTTCATGGCTCGCGAGTAGAGATCGTGATTAATTTTCTACACAGATTATGGAAGATAAGTAATCGAGTAGTCGATAAACTGATCGTTTGATCGAATCATCATCGATAACGACTGCGCGCAGTGAATGCACGCAGAACTGCATTTAATAAGATTAACAGGAACATTTGGAGGTGATTCGTAATCGGCTTGAGTCCTTTGAGCAAGATAACCTATCGTCCCGTACCCATAGTAGTTGTACAGTTTCGATCAGTTGTACCGCCGCCGCTATTTCCTCCTTTCATTGCACAGTTCGAGAGTTACCTCTCCCGAGCGTGCAGTTATTGTGTTCCTTAACTTAATAACTAAAATACTATTTCTCTAGTTATTCTTGTTGTCCGTACCTCCACTCCGTACGTCCGCTCGCCGGTTCTTCCACTAGTTTCGTCTCCGGTGCGCTTTTACCCAGGGATTTTCCGCGGGTTCGTTGCAAGAAGAAACGCCGCAACAGAAGAAATACGAACAAGGGAAAGGGGACGAGAGAGAAAGAGAGAGAAGAGAAAAGACAGAAAAGCGCACGAGAGCTCCGGCTGATAAATTAAAAACGAGTTCTATACTTTCCGGACGGAACTGCTCGACCGCCATTTCCACTGCTAGCCTTTGTAAGAGCATTAGCACCTTGAATCTAGGGCTTACGCTCCTTCGTCGTCGGAGTATAAATCTTCTCCGTGGATCGTCCGTGACAGATCCGGCGGCTAACGGAGCGACGTGTGCAGGTTCCTCTTGCCTCGAACCACCCGTCATCCAAACGAGGCGCAAAGTATTTTCACCGGGAAAGCGGACAGGCTCGATGGCTGACACACATTACCCGCGCAGTTACGAAATTCCCCGGTGGGTACGGCCACGGCGGCGGTCTCGAAGTACCCCTCTGGTGTAATATTTCGAGAGACCCCGGCCCACGAATCTACGTTAGCGCTAAGAGATTGCTCCCCATACCCCTTTACCCACCCACCTAGCGCCACCCCTGGCCCCGTCGCCCCTTTTCCTCTTCCTCTCTCCATTGTAATCATGGAAACAATCATTCTTCTCTCTCCCTGGCTCCTCTTCACAACCCTGGCTGCGCTCTCTCCGCCCTTCGCCCTCTACCTTCCTCTTCCTCTTCTCCTCCGCATCTCTCTCTTTCCCTCTGTCTCCCTCCGTTCCATGAACGGAGCAGACAACCCTCTCGTCGCGCCGTTCAGTCTTTCTCGTTCTCTACTCTGCCACTTCCGCTTCTGTCTGTCCTCCCCTCTTCTGCCTGTGTGGAGTCGTTCGTCCCTGTCGCTCTCCTTCCGCACCCACGGCGGATTTCAGTATAATGTCTCGTTCCCTCGGTGCGTCGATAGGAAGCGCAACGTGTTTGTGGCGCGGAGTG